ATGTAAAAGAGGTCAGAAAAATCAGTTTTCTGATTTTTGCGCTGCCGACAAAATATACAGTTTTTTTCACTGGATTTCGTTGAAAAACATTTTTTCGTATCATTAGGAAGCATTCTGTGAGGAAATGAGAGCAAATTTGTCGTGGGCCGATTTCGGGTCTTATCGACCCCCGTCCTTTGTAGAGTATGTTATTTTTGCTTAAAAAAAGAAATCGACCAAAATGACAACATGAATATAGGTTCTGTGGCAGTTGACCGATATCTATTCAATAAAATGAATTCACTTCGTGAGCGTCGAATGTGAATATGAGAATATTCTTTTAAGAGTCAATTTATATGTAGTTTGTGATATTCTATTTTAGCTCTATGAGAAGGTTATTTCTTAAGAATTAAAAAATGTGTAAGAAAAGCAAGACTAGTTATGCTGACGATTTGATTTAGCGAAAAGGAAGTGAGATTAGTGAATTTGCACTTCATTTGTTTACGCACTTTGAGAGAATGTCTTCTTAACCTAATTGTACATATGAAGCTCTCGCAACGCTTTTTTTTTACTTTTACTCTCGAAGTATGACGCAAAACAATCACAGGGACGAAACCCAGTAGACGAAATGATTTCTCATTAAGGTATAAACATGAAATACATTGCACACGGAGTCATTTTCTCAGACGCAACCGTATGTAGGAGTGATTTGTCAGAGTGATGCATCACCTACAAGCTATATTTTATTCCATGCGAAATGAAATTACATTATTCAAAACGATTACACGGCAAAATATATCCTATTAAATTTCTGTTCTCAAACTGCTCAGGACGGCAAGCTTCTGGTGCGCATTATCATTCTTCGGCAGAAAGTTATTCTACTCGTTCAAAAAATTCATTCATTTGATACAACAGTGACTTTCAAAACATAACAATAGCAGTGAGATATATTATAGGAGATAGGGATGAATCAGAGTTGGAACCGGTGAAGAAATTTTCAACCGGTCCGGTCCGGCCGGTTTTCACCGGTTTCCAAATATTTGTAAACCGGCAAAAACCGGCGAGTTCTCGAAGCATTTTTAGATTATATAATTGCTTATAAAGACAATATTTTCTTCTGAATGTGCATAGGCACAGGTTATATGTTTCCTTTTCTTAGAATGTTTATAGTTTATATTAGAATCGCATATATGAAAAGGGCAATCGTAAATTTGAAGTATAACTTTTTTCTGTACGAGATAAAGTTCCTTTCCTTCTCCCTAAATTCGATATTTAGTTTTGATTTCTGTTATTACTTAGTTCAAAATTTATGCAAAATAGCGCATTTTTCCATGAAAATAAACAGTTACAATAAATACAAGATTAAAAAAAGATCATTTCACTAGATATTAAATCCACAAGCTAAATGAAACATACGTATAAAAAAATATAATATTGTTTTTATTTAGGCCATGTTTTGTTTAAATAAACTTCTTTGAGAACGACAAGTGATTCTAAACATTCAGGTTCCAACTGAGATCGTTGCTCAGTGACAACTTGTCCCGCTATTGAGAAATGTCGTTCAGATTCAGCAGATGACGCTTGTATAACAAAAACAGATTTTGCTATTTTCGATAGAATGGGTAAAACGTTTTGTTGGTCACTCCAGAAGATTAATGGATTACTGTCTTCCGGTAATTCATATAATGTCCTTTCATATATTTGAAGTTGTCGTCCAATTTCATCGGTAAATGAATTCGCTGAAACTGTGGTTGACGACACTGTACCACGTACAGCACGTATTGTGGCAAAAGGATCTTCTTTCCTTTGTTTTTAAGTGGCGGATTAGTGTTAGATGATGGCTGATTATTTGATAAAGAAAGCGTCTTTGCAATCGTCAGCTAAAATATAAATACCATCTTTAATTGATTTCTTCTGTTCAAGCAAATATGATTTATCGATAACAAATAGATCTTTGAATGTGGGATCTAGATAAGTTGCGATCCAATGCAACTGTGTTGTTGACGTCAGGTATTTTTCAATAAGTTCTTTAGCGATTTGAACTTTTAATAAATTAATGATTGAATTTTTTCGTTTATTGTCAATAATACAATATTCACTCATACGATAATAACTTGGAATAACATTTTGTAACGTTAGTTGATTGGAAAACACCAAATTATCAAAAATTAAGCTAAACTTTTCCATGAACGTACTTATTTCATGTAGCAATTGTGGATCAATTTGTAGAATACGATGTTGCTCACCCCTTTCACGTAATATAATTAATAATGATTCATATGATTGATGTAGACTGTTGTGAATAAGAAAATATGAGCGCCATGGGCGTGTACCACTGGAGCTTTTTAATGTTTTAGGTAATTTAAATTGAATACCACCACTTTGTTGACAGTAAGTTCGAAGATTACTTACAGATGTACAAAACATTTTAAATTCAGCATTAAGTATCTTGACATTTTCCCATGCTGTTTCTAAAACAGTATTCGTTCGATGCGCTAAACAAGAGTATCTTGCTTCATCTGTTAAACTTAAAGCTTTTATCATATTTGATCCTTGGTCAGTAGTAATAGGTGTATCACCAAACGATAAACTAAATGATTGAAAGATTTCTTCAATTTCATGTCAAATATTAATTCCAGTTTTTGGTGCATCAAAGTGTTTGCATCTTAACATTGTATGCTTTAATTCGTAAGCATCATTAACAAAAAAAACTGTGAAGTCTAAATAACTTCTCTTCATTAAGTCATCAGTCCAAATGTCATCAGTTCCTGCTAAGCAATGTTGCTGTATTGGTTCGTCCAATAAAGAACGTATTTGAGTCGTATATTGAGTGAATTTTAATAAAGCCTCTTCATGAATAGTTTTTCTTCCATAAAATATATCTTGAACATCTACTAAACCAAAATTTGCTCCGATTTCAATACTTGTTTGTATTAATGTTAAAATTCTAGCATTTTCTAATGAGTTAAATGAATGCGAACCAGCGACTACAAACTTCAATTCAGCATCTTTAAGTTTTAATTTATATTTTTCTGATAATGCATTTTTATTGAAAGCAAATTTTGGATGAATTGAAGGTGTACTTATTTGAACATTTTGTTCTTTATTGTTGGTTAAACTTTCTTTTTGATTTTAATCTGCATTTGCACTGTTTTAAATGGTCATGTATTCCATTTAATCCGTAGTTTTTTCTTTTACCATCTGGATCCTTTTTAGAATGTGTTCTATAGGCCATATAACAATAATTACAAGCTGCCCAACCTTCCAATATATCAGTTAACAGATTTTCATCTTTTTTGTCCAATTAAAGATACATCATTTATCCATATTTCGTTGTTACATTTTACATTAGTAACTAATTCAAAGTTGTTAGATTTCAAGTTGCTTTGAATTCATTGTGGAGTGAGATTGTCAATATCCATAAAATGATGTAGTTTTGTTATTTAATTTTATACTATGGAACTTATAAAAATACGATCAACATATGTCCCTATCCGTCTACTTATATACCACACTAGTGGCCTACTCTCTTTTAAGTTAATTAAGCGCATGTACATGTATATGTGGCAGTAGAGTTTAGAATCTAGTTGAGATTGGAATTGTTCATTATTCTATAAATGTTATGAGAGAGTGATTCATAGAAATAAAATTTTATTAGTGAGTGATATGATATAGTTTGATTGANTCTTATTTATGATCGATTAGAAAATAGTTTGCTAAATCTAACTCAGAAAAAAATTTCCATATCGTTCATATAATTTTATTTGCACTTTGATTTTCGAAATTTGTTTTTCTTTTCTTTTCTTCGCTCTCTTTTGTGTCTATTTTCTTTATCTTTAATTAAATCTATTATTCCAATCTCAACTGAATTCTCATGTCAACTGTAACATATACATGACATGTAATTTACATGTCATGTATTACATGTCGGCATATTAAGATGAAGAAATTGGAATCCAATCAAAGAAATAAGATGAAAGCAAGTAAACGATCAATGCATGACAACTTTTTGATTGTTAAAACATTATAAACGGTAAATAATAAAAGTTTTATTTCAAAAGAAGTTGAAAGAATGAAAAATTTGAGTTTAAATTTAAGAATATAATAGCTACTTCTTTCATTTAAGATACGATATGTACTATAAGTTGACTGGTATCCGGCGCTACTAATGCAATATTAACTAACATTTAAAATGTTCTCAGACCGGTAAAAACCGGTAGGAACCGGCCGGTTCAATTATCTCAACCGGTCCGGACCGGACCGGTTCCAACTCTGGGATGAATCAGTGTGGTAACCAAATGACTGTTTCACTGCATGGTTACCATCATGAATGATCATTGACTTGTTTCGTCACAAATGAGCCACAGTTGACATTGAGTTACTACGAAAATTGTTGAATATTTCTTAATCTTGAAAGAAACGATCTTTTCGAAAGCACAAGAGGTGATACACAGTTAGTACTGAGTTTAGAAACATCCTCTGATCGGCTTATTTGACTCTGCATTATGGGAAACTGCATTCTTGCCATGTTTTTCATCTGGAGATGAGAACTGCGATACCACAAACGATTCCATTGATCCTCATGCATAAGGTTTGGTTTCTAAACATTATGCCCAAACTATTATATGATAAAGTTCTTTGAAGCGATGCCTTCACAAATGCTCAGTAGGGCTAACTCCGAGGATAGATTAATATTATTTCCCCAGATTCTTAACTATGCAAAATTTACAACTCTGATTTCTTTTGAATCTAAAAATTGTACTTTATTGCATATACGATTGTCTGATATAGGAGAGATTCTATGCTTCCATTTCCTTCACTACTGTTCATTTCCTTATAACAGGCTAATAAATTTTTGAGGTTTAATATTGTACATCTTAAAATACGATGCAGTGATGTACTGACACATAGAGCAAATAGATGGAGCTCTACGGAGTAATTCTCACAGAAGTGTTTGCATATATTAGAAAAATACAGATCCTGCGTTTATTCGAGTACACTCTCATTTCATTAACGTTTGAATTTCTTTTCGGAAAATTTTGAAATTATACCTGTTTATGCTTCTTATTCAGTTTCTTCTTTTTGTTTACTGTATATTTTTATTCACCGTGTATTTACAATCATCAAATCCAATCAGAAGAATTAAGTTATGGGAGGTTTTTGTTGGATACACTCTAATGAATAGTAACGGATGTGGCATATGTCGAGAAATGATCGTTTCTTCCCCAGACATATGACTAGAAAATGCGTTCAAAGTAGTAATACTTGAAATTGTAGGAAAAAAAATAAGATTAAGAAACGAATGTAAAAATGCGTATCGGAAAAAAGGCAGGCTTTGTGAACATTTCATTTGATCAACTTGATCATAGTGTTTCTCAATAAATAATAGCATTCATTGACATGCTTTGCTAGCTCGTTTTCTTTCCATAAAATGTGTAATCTTTGATTATTTATTTAAAAATTTTTCTTCATTCTAAATATAGTCAATTTTATCAAGTGTAACACATAATTTCCATCGAATTGACCAATCGTTGCTCTATGTGAAATATATTTATGTCATTGAACAGTTTTAGAACACATCTGCTTATTGATATTCTTACCTAACATTGACGAACTCATGGCTAAAAACTGTACATTAAATTTCCAAACATATAACTTTGTTTGAAAGTTCAAAATAGATAAGTCATCTAAGAAACACGCCTAGGCACAGTGAAAATATCGATCATGGTTTATTTGAGATGCCCACCACTTTTATTTGATTTAAAACAATCTCAAAAGAGCACACTAAAGTTGGCCGATCAGTGAATTTGAACCTATTGCTGTCAGTATATTTGTGGATGATAAGCTAAAATATATCCACCCATGCAGATTTACAACCAACTCGTGTAAATATGAATTATAAAAGATAGACCGATAACAATCATTATCTCGATTAACAGTAGCAATTTTTGTACAGAATAAGTGGTATTCATGTTTATCATAAGAGTATATATTGCATCTATCACATGATTCAAAGAGAGGTTTATTATCAGGGGCAATATAAAACGTCACAGCCGTTCGCCTTTTCCAGCATAACAAAAGCTGGTTATTACTCAGGCATTCCTTCACAAAAAATTTCGAACGTAGAATATGTCAATTAGAGAGTTTTGTTTAAGAAAAAATACATTTAGTAGACCAGAAAATGAGGAAATCGAAAGTGTATTGTCGATTAGGTTTATAAATCATCCAACAAAGTTAGTTGCATAAGCCAATTTGAGAAGTACGCATCCAGTATATTCGCAGCTTCAACAGCATGTCGACACATTGGACACCTGTTGTCTGTTCTTAATACATCCAGCATGCAATTGAAATGAAATATGTGTTGGCCAGGACAAGACCATCGAGCATATTGCTGATTCATTTGATAATCGGTGATACAAATAGGACACTCTTCAAACATAAGGCCATCATTGATTGTCAGTGGGCCATTCATACGATACTCTGCAATAACACGTGGCGATGCTGATGTTATACCTTGTAAAATCCGATTAAAGTCGTCACCATATTCACGTATCTGATGTTCTGTTTCTTCGTCGATCAGATATTGAAGACGACGCTCTCGTTCTTGTTCAATCATCCGTTGAAGGTGACGTTGCCTTTCTTCTTCTTCATCACGCAATGCTTGTTGTTCACACCTGAAACAAATTAAAATCATTGAATCGGGCTGATTTTCACAGTTTACAAAAACACAATTGTTTAACATACAAATATCTATATTGGCTACATAGAATCATTAGTCTTGCATGTAACCATTCTGCTCGATCGTGCTGGTAACGTATTGTATTTAAAGAAAAGTCGATATTCTCAGTGCGATCATTATCGCTGATCACAATACAACGTGGCAACACCTCAGTAATAGTGTCAATGCCAATAACAATAAAGAGAGTTTCCGAATCAAATCTTCGAAGAATTCGAGGAGAACTTTCATTCAAGTCTAGTTTCAACATTATAAGATGTTTCTCATTTATAATAAACAGGTTATTATGATAATTATTTTCAGAAGGTGTTTCTGACAAAACATTGCCTAACTCTTCTAATGAGATGCCATCCAGTTTCATTAGTTACCTTTTAATTGCGTCAGTCAGATGTTCCGACGGTAGACGCAGGTAATCAATAACGTTCTTAGAGAGACATAGCAAATTGTAAATCAAACAGCATATTAAAACACCCAGGAGAGCGTGTGAAAGAAAAGCAGAATAGTTCGCTGAGACATCAAATACACGAACATCTTCATTAAACATGTACTCGCCAGACCTGTATTTTTTACTAATTGATTCAGTCGAAGGGCCGTACAGATATCCAAGTAAAATTCCACATCTTTTAATTACCGTTTTGTTGATTAAGCTTGGATTTCGCTGATAGATTTCTTCGATACTTTTAGTGTACAACTGTTTTTCAGGCCAGTTTAAAAATTGTCGTGCCGGAATGCCAATTTGTTTAACAATACAGCGTAGCGTTGTAATACTGAACGACTGAAATCGATATGGATATTGTAAGTCTGCGTATGATTGCCCATTTGCTGCAAATTTAATGTATAGTGTCATGTTGGGCGTATTAATAGTTGGTTCAACGACTCGATCGAATGTAGTTTTTAGACTTTCTGACCAGATATATTCAGAATACCCTGTATATACGGTGCTGGCATCCGATGCGATAGTACCAATGCCTAGTTCAACTTGAAGATACTGAGGCTGAAAAAGAATGGAATGAAATGAAAGGAGTCCCCAAAAATCAAGCAAATTGTAATTGGTTTCCAAATGATCTCGAAATTGTTTTAGATTCATTACAAATGGAACATTCCAGGAATTATACAACGCGTTAGGAAATCGAAATATTATCGTTATAGCAATTGAAATGAACAAATGAACAAATATCAGTTCAGTATGTTGTAGGAGCTTGCTGCGTTGATCTTGAAAAAATTGATCACGAATACGTCTTAATAACAATGCGTAACTTGATTTTATTTGCATGATTGTTTTCGGAAATTGGATGTTCCTAATGAAAAAAAACCGATCAAATGTAAAATTGATCGTATAATGAACAAGTTGAAATAGATTCAATTCTTCGAGTGTATTTTTTCTACTGAGAAAAACAAGCGGCAATCACATGACTAAGTGGATAAGATTCAATTTATATGGTAGCTGGCTGTCATCTACTCGGTATAATACATTCAGTTGTCGAAGTTAGAATATGAATATGAGAATATCCTTGTATAAGAAGAAAGCTATTTATAGAGAGATTATAAAGTCCAAGAAAAGGAGATATAATTATGAGAAAGAACTGATATAATGGAAAGTAAGTAAACAAATCAATTTGTCCTTTATTTATATTCACCTACGCTTCTTACTTCAGTAGTGCAGATGAGGCTTCTACAATGCACGGTTGCTTTTTCTGCTATAAATATGAAGTAAAATAGTAACAGAAAAAAAAACAATAGACGAAATGATTTTTCATTTATGTAGAAAAATGAATTTCATTTTATAGCACCCTTTAAAGGTTTTTTCCAATGTAATAGTGTGTAGGAGGCACAGAATTGTGAGAATGAGTAATCACCTATAGACTGTATTTTAATATTATGCAATGAAATAAGTATTGAAAAATTTTACACGGCAAAATTTATCCTATTAAATTCGTGTTGTCAAACTATTCAGAACGACAAGCTTTTGATTCACATTATTATTCTCCGGTAGAAAGTTATTGTATTCGTTGACAAACTCACATGATTTCTTGAATCACAAATTCTGTGCTTTGATATAATTTTGGGTTTCAAAATATAGTGACAGTAGTAGATTTGGTATAGTATGTATGTACGAGTGAGAGTACTCACCAGATAGTTTTTTTCTAAATCGATACTTTTATGAGTCATCAATGAGATTTTTCAATGTTTTTATTTACTTTTTAAACATACACATGGCGTATTTTTCTGCCTGAAAAACACATGTACTCTTTACTTGTTTTTGCAGAAATTGAAAAGAAACTACAAAGAAACATATTTTGTTTGTCAACAACAATTTTAAGTCAACTTAAGTTGAGGGTGAGGATGAGTTATGATTAGAGGAATTTCATTATTTTCACCCACGGTCCTATAATTGACGTTGCATCATATTTTACACTGAAATTGATTTCTTATAAACAAATAAAATTTCAACATATATTATCACAAAGGACATTGCCGCCGGATGAAAAATCGAAAGCAGTCGACCGTTTGGTTGCTACGCAAAATAGCGTATCTTTCTCTTGCATTCTCTTTACTCGCACAAAGCTCATATCATCTTTCATTCAAGAGAACAACTCACCAACTTTGTAATACACATTTCTATTTTGCGACTATATGAAAAAAAGAGCAAACGCCTCGTGTTATTACTGCTATCGTTTGGTATGCTGAATTTCGTAGATTAGATGTATAAAAGCCATTTCTTTAGTGTTGGAAATATATTTTCTATGCAGTTTCATGAAAACATTTTTCACAATATTAAACGGATTTTTTTACATATTCTACTCGAAAACATACTTGGAGCCGCATATATGTTACTGTACAAACTCGAATGTCAGTCTCTATTTGTTTCTAATCAACAAGCAGCTGCAGTATTATATGAAACTGATACTAAAAAGAATTCTGATCTGCAAAACTGAACTAAACATGTGTTACAGTTGACATGAGAATTCAGTTGAGATTGGAATAATAGATTTAATTAAAGATAAAGAAAATAGACACAAAAGAGAGCGAAGAAAAGAAAAGAAAAAAGAATTTCGAAAATCAAATTGCATATAAATTTATCTGAACGATATGGAAACTTTTTTTATGAGTTAGATTTAGCAAAGTATTTTCTAATTGATCATAATTTAGATTTCTTTTTTAAACTGGTGACCGGAAAAAAAATATTTATTTCTTATTTTTCATTTAACTCAACGCGCTCTCATATCGCTTGTATGAGTCATATAGAAATTAATGTATCTTGTTGAGCTGATACTTTAATATTAAAAGGAAATAAAATATTTCGTTGATTATGACAATAATGTTACATCATCAAATAAATACTTATTTATCCGAGTTTTCAATTTAAAAATTTAGTAGAATCCATTAGTATCTAATTTTTTTGTCATCATTTATTTATTAATTTAGGGTGTGTGGGTGTGGGTGTGAATTGGTGTGAGTGTTTGTAATAAATTTGACACTCACACCCACACCCACACCCACCAGAAATTCTGTTTGTTTATGCAGTAATTCAACAATGATCAGAATAAAATCCTGTTAGGCTTCTGAATTCTATTAGGTTCTGAAGAACATACATAAGAACTTGAAAAATCTTCCCATTTATTACTGTTGAAATATCAATCAACATTGGTATTGCAATTAGTGTTGTGATCTACAGATTTACAAATACCAACACATCCTGGACAAGAACCACCTAAATTTTTGATAGATTCTTCACATACATCCTTGCTAGGATTCTAAACAAAATAGATTATAAAATGTAGATAGGATCCGAAAAGCAGACACTGAATACACTGTAAACAAAATTTTCAGCGATCTAAACCAGATAACTGTATTTACCCACGAATACTCTGATTATGGTTCGTATTGTGTCATAGGGATTTGAAAGTGCATCTTCCTGAAAAATTTGAAGCAGGATTCTGATGGAAACCTGGCAATTTTAAATGATGTCGATAGTTTACATGATCAAAAGATATGCGCCTAGAAGTCTAGTGAGTGTAAGTTTTAAGGCGAGGTTTTTTGCGGCTTCTCTACTTCCTCTCATATTTCCTTGCAGGCATTAATGAGTACCCTCTCCGCTAGTTAAAGACTATACCAATTAGCATGCTATTTCTTCCGTCTTTTCATCGCAGATAATAGAAAAAAAGTAAGGTCTTCCCATTACAGACCCTAGCAACCAGTATACGTTACCATTGCAGGCAATAGCAGCAGAGTAATGCCCCCATTGCAAACTTAAGCTATCCGTGCAATTCACCATCACGTACTTTAGAAACAAGACAGATCCTTATGAAGGATTTTTCATTCGAGCTATTTTTCATTAGTTTACTGAATTAACGAATATATGTGAATTCCACATTTTAACCGCGAAGGGGCTTCGCTGATAAACTTGTTTCACCTAGAAAATTTCGCGCTCACTTTCTAGACTATTTTTCATCTACTCTCATAAAATCTCAATAGATAGTAATTTTCTGTTCATGTTTTCATAGAAACAACACCAGAAAAGATTCCGTTCTATTCTTAAGATCTTGTCAGCTGCTAGCATGACGCAACTGTGAAATATTTAGATATTGAGAAACCTTAAGAAAAAAGTCTAATATAGAAGCCATACGTTTTAGTTCACCCTACTTTTCTTCCGGGAATAATATTCTCTTACGAATTGAGATACCTCTCAACTGTTTTAGATAATTACTTCAAACAAGAATAGAACAAGCTTATGTATTCTTATAAAGAAATCATATTAGTATTGAAAAACGTCAGTCATACCACATTATGGCTTTTGTTCAATATTAGTTGCTGCGAATTACTACATGAAACGCTTTGAAAGAAACCTTGGTTCATTCTTAATGATAGGATATATGAAACGTGGCACACTAAAATAAAAGTTGTTACTATTAGAAACTGCAAGAATTATATGAGTTTTACATTGTATGTCTTCGTAGAACTAAACCAATAGACTGTTTCTCGAAAAAACGAATTTGTTAATTGATGTATTAACCAGAGCGGTTTTTCTCTGATTAAACTCTGTAAATGAACCAGCAGGTCTTCACCGGTTTCTTGCCGATCAAATCACGACATTCGACCAACCGGCCCTGTCGAAACAATTCCGATCGGTTCCAAGTAAAATATCACCCAATTGGAGCGGTATCTGGCATTTATTGATAGAAACATATTTGAATATCTAAGAAGTTCTTATCAAGTATAATAGAGAAAAGAATTCTACGTCGAATCAATCTATTTTTGAAGAATCTTAATCGAATTTAAATGAAATTCCAGGTCAAGTGTGTCTTATGGGGAGATCCGATCAGAGTCTCTCATATATTTGTGATTAAATGAGTACCTTTGAAAAAGATGCTATATTTACATTCAACACGCTTCGCTCTACGGAAGTAAGAAGACTTCTAATACAACCGCGATGAAACATATTTTTCTATACCTGAGGTAGACGTCAGTGCTGAAAACTTAAGCCGTAACAAAGTACAAAATAAACTGGTGAAAGATGATCAGAATTGAATTTTGATGTTCAATGCTAAGAAAACTAGAGTCAGATTGTTCTGTATGCTATTTGTATTGTTTGACTCACCTATTTTGGGTTAATCACCTCAAATTCCTCCGCTCTGAAGGCCTTTGATCCAGTTTTATAGGACTTAGCTACTTTTTTTGGAATAACCTTCACTTTAAGGAGAAAATCAGAGTGGAATATTATTACTCCCGCTTCAACTAAATAATCACGGAAAGCTAAGCGGATTAAATGCTAGCAAAAATATTTCAAATTAATATTACCGGTTTCATCGGCAGTCACATCTTAATATACAATTAACGTATGTCTTTCAGCCGTAATCGCCAAGCAAATTGCTTTAAGAATATGTTTGAGCATTTACAAGAGATACGGATGATATCGTTTACGAGTACCTGAACACATAGTAGACTTCTCTAAACGAGAATATACAAATATTATTTTCATACATTTACTAGTAAATATTTACTTTACAAAAGTAAATAGTAAATAATTTATTTACTTTACTATATTTAATTTTCAAAAAGTAAAGTAAATCTGCCATCCCTAGCTGACATAGCGCTAAAACAAAATAGCAAATTCGCTACAGAAATGGGGAGGATATCGGTTCACCTTTTGAGGGTGTGGGTAGTCATTCTACCATCGTTCATGTGCCAATAATAACGTCACGACCTATATGCACATTCTATCGGTCACTATGTGGCTAGATCCTCTGACCTCATGACCGATAGTAGCTGCTC